GGAGAGAGGGAGAGAGAGAGAGGGAGGGAGAGAGAGAGAGAGAGAGGGGGGGGGGAGAGAGAGAGAGAAAGAGAGAGACTACAATATCCTGGGAGGATAATGATAACACATCGCCCGCGAAACCATGATTAATGTCGTATCGCTCCGTGTGGTGGCGCCTCTATATTAATTATTTATCGCAAATCGCCTCACACTTCCTCTAGCTTCATCCTCTAGCTTCCGCTTGCTTCCTTTTGCTTCCTCTTGCTTGCTCTTTCATCTCTCGCATTATTCTCGGCTAATCTCGATTTCGCATCATTGCAGACTACCGCAGAGCGTCGCGTCGAGAGCAATAATTTACTCGAACTGGATTAAGTTTTTCTTTCTTAAAATATTATTTACGCGTTAAACTGGCAAAGGAGAGGGGAAGACTCGGTTCTCTCCCATGCTCTTCCAATTACGTCTTGGATGGGTACCCAGGATTGTTTTAAGTTGGCGAGTTTTTTTCCGACGCCCGAGATTGGAATAGAGAAACAATCCTCGGCCAAATCCATTCTTGGCACTCATGGTTGTAATGGGGAAGTAGTTTCCGCGGTGGATTGTACAAGCTATGTGCACGCACGTGAGAACGCATGCACGGACATCTTATTCTTGAGTGGCATAAGCGAATAGCTTGAGTATAGAGGATAACCTGTATTATCACGTTAAATTATTTGTCACGTTTTTTATATCAAGAGCTAATAATACACTTATTTTACTACATAATACAATTTATTAGTAGCTTTTGATTATATTTACATCACACGTTTCTACATACACCCCCCCCCACACGCACCCACTCTCGTTGACAGCTTCATGCACGTCTGCAGACTTCCTAGTCACCAGCGTGTGTCAACCGTTGTCAATTCAATTCACTTTATTTACACGTATGACAACTACATTTTGGAGGTATAATATTTTTTTGGTGTCAAGCGGGCCTGTCTCTATCAACGCATAACGCTATGACGTCACGTTATTGTGTTTACGTCACAGGAGAAACCGGATGAACCGTCGGAGGTGAATGACGGACCGGCGTCGCCATCTTGGGACAGCGACGGAGAGATCCGCGGACTGCTGACGAAATCATACAAGACCAACAGACGCCACCAGGTGGCGCCCGCACTGCCAAAGATTCGACACAACCAGCACCAGGTAATAGGCCGAACTATATAATATATAGTTATATTATACTTATTATATAACTTATATATACATGTCGTGACTATACGTGTGATTATGCT